CCTCCTCCTCCTCCTCCTCCTCCTCCTCCTCCTCCCCCTCCTCCTCTAAGCCTGGCCTCGCGCACTTCACGCTGCCCGACCTTCGGCGCATGTGGTTGGCGGTGCCCAAGGAAGGACTCTTGTGGGGAAAAACCAAAGGCCCCATATCTAGAGCGTGGCTGTCCCTGGATAGAATCGGTTGGAAAAGCGATGGCCCCTTTATCTGGACTGACGACCGAGGGAATGAGCTGTCGCTCTTCTACAACTCCCCTGCTATGCTCAACGCCCTGCTTAAAGAAGGTGTCCAAAGGCATCACGAGAGGGTCCTGGGGAGCAGTCTCGGTTGGGGCGAAGGGGAGCGAGTTTGTGTTGACCCCATACGTAGAATTACCAAGGCTAATGGCAAGGGTATGGGGTTGAGTGCCCAAGGCAAGTATATGGTGAGAGCCATGTTTTGCGACGGGATTTGGTGTGAAGATCGCGCTGTCCGTGCGGGGTACCTGTCGCGGGGCTTGTGCCCCGTTTGCAACCAACCAGACTCCATCCATCACCGTTTGTACAAGTGTGAGGGGCCGGCCGAGATTAAGAATGCCCGTGAGGCCGTACAGGCCACTGACTTTTTCTTCCAGCAGGCACAGGAAGGTGCTCAGGAGTTCTTCGCAGGACTCAAGTTTCGGCACCCGTCTGCCCCGTGACCTCAGCCGAGCGACGAGCATGAGCCTGCCTTGTTCGACGCTGAGGGCGCCCCCATGGACTGGAGCGCCTTCAACCCAGAGGGCCTGAGCGTGTCAGGCGATGGCTCGTGCGTCCCACACATGATAAAGGAGCTCTCGAGGGCCTCATATGCTTGGGTATTCCTGGGGGCTGATGGACAGCAGGTGGCGACAGCAAAGGGCACGGTGTGGCCATCTCTGCCGCAGACGAGTCAGGCGGCAGAACAACTTGCGCTCAGCCTCCTCCCCATCTTCGTACCCAAGTACGGTGCTGCGTGTTACAGTGATTGTATGAATGCGGTTCGGTTGCACAACAGTTCCCCACAGATGCAGCTTAATCCTAAGCATAAGTATTCGGGCTTACGTCGTGGAGCGTTACAGCATATGCAGGCTAACAAATATGCGCCAGCAGTGTATACTCCAGCACACCGTGATCTCAGTGAGATCGAAGCACTCCCTGCCCCCGAAAGATGGATCGGTCAAGCTAATTGGCGGGCGGACAGAGAAGCTAAGCAAACAATTTTGTTACACCCTCAGCCAGCTCAGGCCGAGTGGGATGCAGTAAGTAGCTCGATCAGAGATCTCGAAACGGTGGCACGACTCGCTTCGGAGATTTTGCCGCTGTTTCCGAGGGTCCAGCACCAGAGGCCTCCGAAGCAAGACAAGTGCGTCAAACTTTTTAGATCAGCTGACGGCTGGCATGCTTGGGAGCCCTGGTTATGGGGCCACAGGTGCAGCAATTGTCTCTGTTTTTATAGTGGTAGTGAGGACTCCAGGCCCGAGGTCGGATGTTCGGGGTTTCCGCGTCTGGTGCAGGAGCTCTTGACCTCTTCCCCGAACCACGGCCACCAGCTGGCCAGTACCCAGGTGGCGGACCAGGAAAGCCCTCTTTTGTTTTGTATGCTGTGTGGATATTTCGCGCAGCATCGAATTCATATGTTGGCTAAGCGGTGTGTGAAGCCACGTACGGACGAGCAGCGTAGCAGTGCTGGCACCACGGCCCTCAGGAGGCTGAGGCGTGGGCTCCACCCCAAGAAGCCGTTGGCGGTGTCTTGTGCTGCGGTCGAGGCGGCGAATCCAACCGTGGTGGCGGAGTACATAGCCGCCAATCGCCCCCTCTCCATCCCAGCTGCTGCTCGTCCGCTCCAGTCTCTTGCTGCCGTCAGTGCCCGTGTGCGGGCTAGAGTCGGGGGCGGGGACGGTGGTGGCAGCGGGGTGGGGGATGAGTCGCGCAGGCCCTCCGCAGGCGCGCCGCGCCCAGGTTCCCGCGTGTCGGCGGCGAGCGGTCGCAGCAGGACCAGCTGCGGACCCGCCGCCGCCGCCGCGGGCCCGAGGAAGGAGCAGGAGGTGGAGGATCCCCTCCTCTCGTCGTCGGGCCCCTTTTCAGATGATAGTGACTAAGGGGATGAGGCCAGGTTCGACTCGAGACTATGCCCTCGGGTGTGGTCCAGGGTCGTGCCTGCGCTGTCCCCAGTCCCAGCGGCGTCGGTTTAGATGCCGTTGTACTGGTTCGGCCCATGGTGGCCCCCCCCCCCAAAAAAAAATCCTCCTCCTCCTCCTCCTCTCCCTCCTCCTCCTCCTCCTCCTCCTCCTCCTCCTCCTGCTCCTGCTCCTGCTCCTGCTCCGCCTCCTCCTCCTCCTCCTCCTCCTCCTCCTCCTCCCGTGCCGTGCTGGTTTCGTCCTTTCCCTCCTGTGTCCTCTGCCTCCGCATGCAGTCTCTCCCTGGGCCGCCGTAGGACTGGGAGGCCAGTGGCCATCAAGTTCGAGGCCCCTTTCCCGGGGCCGGCGTTCCGCCCTGGCTCCTTGTTGGTTGCCCCAGCGCCCAATAGCGCGCACGGGAGGCCGCACTCGAAGGCGGGGCTCGGCCTGAGCCTGGCTACTCGTTCTTCTGCTGTTCTCGTCTTCCATCGTTCTGTCCTCGCTCCGCCTCTGCTGCATCACAAAAACGAAACGAAGACGGGCCTCGAGTTCGCCAAAGCACTCTTTCGGCCGAGCCCCTCTCGAAAGAACACGCCCCGACTGAAAATGCCATACCGTCGGAGATCTGTAACTGCCAGCGCCGCCGCCCGGTCGTGTTCGTCGTCGTGTTCGTCGTCGTCGTCGTCGTCGCCAGCCTGCCAGCGCCGCCGCCTGCCAGCGCCGCCGCTCGGGGGGCCGTCGAGCGCACGCGCGCGCCGCACCGCCGCTGCTGCGTCGCGGCCCTGGCGCAGTCTAGGAAGTGGTCGTTGAGCATGGTGCCGTAGCGCGCCAGCGCCTCGGCGCCGACCTCGCGCACCTGGCGCCGACGACGACGAGGCCGAAGACGACGACGACGACGACGACGACGACGACGACGACGACGACGACGACGACGACAAGGCCGTGAATGACGGCGACGACAAGGCCGTGAGCGACGGCGGCGACGACGACGACGACGACCAAACGGTGGCGGCGGCGGCGACGGCGGCGGCGGCGGCTGGTGGCGGCGCGGCTGCGCGCTCGGCGCGGGTGTGTGCGGTTCCGCGGCGCGTTTGGCTCGCGGCCAAGGGCGTGCCCACACCCCCAGCACTTCGCCGAAACCGTGCGCTGCCAATCCGGGCCGCGCGGGTGCCGGCAGAGAGCTGGGGCGGCGCGGCACGAGCCCCTGCAGGTCCGCCTTCCCGATGCAGTTGTAGGTAACGGGGAGTCCGTTCCTCGCAGCGGAGGGGCAGCAGGGAGGGTCAAAATCGGCGAGCATCGAATCGCAAATTCGGGTCAGGTCGGGACGAACATCGAATCGGGCTGCAACGATCCGGAGTCGTCAGAATCGAATCGCACCGGCCAGGTACCGAGCTACAATGTGCAAACATCGGGCCGCATCGCATCGCCCGGAAATCGAAGTCGAGTCGGACGGATCCGGCTGAACTCGGCGTCAACTTGAACCGAGCGAAGCCGAATGGGACCCGCAGGACAAGATGAGAGGTCCCAGAAGGATGCCTGCGCGAGAGCCCGAACCGTTGACCGCGCGCATGGCACGGGGTGGAACCTGTTGGGATTGGGGACAACCCATGGAGAGGAGGGGCGAAGTATGGGGTGCGAGATCTGCTCAGACCAGCACACGGGACGAACCGTGCCGAACCACCACAGGGACAACCCGCAGGGCACAGACTGGGGGCGCCAGCTGCCGGGCGCCGAGCACGCGGCACCCATCCCAGGGCACCGACCGCGACGGGGGCCGACGAGCACCGGCCAATACTGGCCGACCGCAGCGCATGCAGGGCAAGCGCAGGGCACCAACCAAGCCGTCAGGGAATGGCCAGAGAGCACCGACCAGAGAGCACGGGATGACACGTGGAAGATTCGCGGGATACGCGTGGGCTGCGCGTGTGGCAAGCGCGTGTGGGCCGCAGTCTGTCTGGCATGCGCACGGGAGGGACGTCGGAGACACCTGCGAGGTAACAGGCAGACACCTGGGAGGCACCTTGGAGACACCGAGAAGATACGTGGATGGGGGGACTTTGAAGGTCACAATTTGCAGATGCCGAGAAGACACGTGAAGGACACCTGGGATGCACTTGGCCGATGCACAGGAGTCTCCACTCACGACCCTATGCCACCTCTTATCCGCCTTCTGTCGTGTGCTATCTAGTTTATACCGTGTACTGTGCTCCTTCTCACGACCCCTTACTCCCAACCATGTAATGTTCACTCGCTCTTCTTTGCATTGTATCTACTCTCTCATACTATTATTCTTATCTCCTCGACTCCAAGACCGCTTGTAGCCCTTATGATTCGCCATTCTACGCATCACATTCGACCACATTGCTTTTTACGGCCACATCCCAACGCTACAAAACACCCCCGTCTATACATCGAATCTATAGATATAGATGTTCATGCCATTGCTCTCACTCTCTTCCTCTCTCTCTCTCCCGCTATGCATATATATATATATATATATATATATATATATACACACACTAGAACCACGCACGCGCTACGCGCGCGCTTAGCTTCTAGTTGACTCCGGAATCGCAGCGAAGAGGTATGCACCCCAGAATGCCAGAAGAGAGGCCTCAACAAAAAATGGCCGCCGCGGCCGGGGGAGCGGGGGGTGCAGGAGACGGAAGCGCATTGGAGCAGCCGGCTCGTCCCTCCTCAGTATCCGCCTCCTCGTCTCTTCCTCAGACTGGCTGCCTAGATCATTTTCGTGGAGGGCTCTCAAGGGCAACGCAAGGAAGTGCTGGAAAACTTCCTGCTCCGATGAGGGGCGCCGACTATCAAATTCCCGGAAGGCTCTCCGGGAATCTGACAATGCGCCCGTGCGGGAGCCCTCGTGAAGGCCTCTGTAAGACCCTTTCGATGTGTCGGGGCTCACTTGCGATACTGGAGAACTTCCTGCTCCGATGGCGGGCAACGAGAATCACATTCCCAGAAGACTCTTCGGAACCTGATGGTTGCGGCCGTGTGGGGCCCATCGTGGAGTCCTCTGTAGGGCCCTGTCGGTGTGTCAAGGCTTATTTGGGGGGCCTTTTAGGGCTCCTCGGCCGCGTGAAGAACCCCTGTGGGTCATCGAGGCTCGTAGTAAGCCTTCTTGCGGTGCCTGGGGGCTCTCTCGTGGATGCCTCTTGAGCCGTCCCCGCGCGTCGGGGAGCAGAGCAGACGACCAATGAGAAAGCATTAAAAACGGCAGGACATCACGAAGTCCTCCTAATTCCAGCTCTCTCGGAGGGCAGGTTGGAGCCTCCTTGGGGCGTCTTGAATGCCTCGCGGGCAGCATGGAAATGTTGGTGGGCGTGCTGGGGCCGTTTTGGAGCTCTGTGGGCCTTCTTTACGGCCCTCGTGGCGTGTCCAGGCTCATTTGGAGAGTCACCGTGAGCACTCTTGGGCCACCTTGGGCACCTCTTGGGCCGATTTCGCGCCGTCTTGGGGCCCTCGTGCACGCCTCGTGTGCCGTCTCCGAGCTTCGGGAAGCGGAGCAGGCAACCACGCGAAAATCAATGAACAACCAATGGATAGTGAATGCTTGTTGCCTATTGGGGCTGTTTCGGAAACCAGCTTAGAGCCTTCTTGGGCCATCTTGGATGCCCAGTGGGCCGCATCGGAGCGATGGTGGGCGTGCTGGAGCCGTTTCGGGGCCCATTGGGCCTCCTTTAGGGCCCTTGTGTCGTGTCCAAGCTCATTTGGGGAGCCACCTGGAACCCTTTTGGGCGATTTTGGGCGCCTCGTGGGCAGTCTTGGTGCTCTCTTGGGGTGTCTTGGGGCCCTTTTGGGCGCGTCTTGTGCCATCTCCGCGCGTTGAGCAGCGTCTCAACATGAAAACCGTTCAAAAACCACGAGGGTCACTGATCTTCGCCCCTGAAGCCTCTCACGGGGATCAGCTTGAAGCTTTCTTAGCGCACCTCGGAGGCTACCTGAGCCTACATCGGAGCAATGATGGGCCTTCTGGGGTTATGTTGCCCCCATCGTACTTCAGGAACACATCCCAGAAATAAGTTCGAGCACCCGGAAAAGTGTCGAAATAGTGTCGAAATAATGTCGAAACAGTGTCGGACGAGTGTCTCCCAGGGACCGACACGTGAAAACCTTGAGTTTTGGAGTACTTTTTTTCCTGGCGCTCGAAATCCTTTCTGGTGATCAAGGCCAAAGTGGGTTGGAACGTCATCAATTCTGGGGTCGTTCCGGGGCCCCGTGGGCGTCGCTTCGGGCCATCGTGGCGTGTCCGAGCTCCGTCCGCGGGCGCAGCGGTGTTCCGCACTGCATCCGAAGGCCCTGCCAGACCCGAGCCGAACCCAGGGGGCATCACCACCCCGGCTTCCCACGCCTCTCCACCCAGCCCGGCGAGAAGTCGTGACGCCCGCCCGGCTTCCCAACGAAGGGGTTCACGTGCTCGTCGTGCCCCCTCCAGAAGAGCTTCGCGGCCAGCTCTGGCCTCTCCTCGAGCAGCGCGGGGGGCCTGTCGATCCCACGTCGCTGCTCCGCGCGCAGCTGGTACCCACGCCTGTTGTGCGGGTTGACGAACTCGTTGGACGGCCTGACGTCCATGTACCAGCCGCCAGGCCCAATGTCAGGTGCATTCGGATCACAGGCTCGCCAGCGCATCTCGTCAATCGTCGGGGCCGACAGCCCGGCGTCCAGACCTTGGAGAGAGCGTGATCCACCGCCGCTTTACTGTGAAACATGTCTTCCCCTCTTCCTCCAGAACCCGGGGTTCCCCACCATCTCTCCGAAAATCCCACCCCCTGCTCGAAGCCCTCCCCCCCCCTTCTCCGGAAAACCGGGGGGGGGGACTACCGGTTCGAACCCCCCTCCCCCCGCCCTTCCCTCCCCTTCAAGAAAACCGGAGGGGCAGTTCGAACCCCACCCCCTCCCTCGCCACCAGCAAAACAAAAGACTCCCGGGTCCCCACCACCTTCCTCACCACCGCCCTCACCACTGTCCCCACCACCACCGTCCCCACCACTGTCCCACTGTCCCCACTGTTCCCACCACTTTCCCCACATTCCCCACCAGTGCCCCCACCAATGTCGCACGCTCCCCACTGTCCCCACCATTTTCCCCACCACGATCCCACTCTCCCCACTGTCCCAACTGTCCCCACCACTGTCCCACTGTCCCCACTGTCCCCACCACTGCCCCAATGTGCCCACTGTCCCCACCGCTGTCCCACTATGCTGCCCCACTGCCCACACTGTCCCCACCAGTGTCTCACTTTCCCACTGTCCCCACCACTCTCCCTACTGTACCACTGTCCCACCACCGTCCTAACCACCGCCCTCACCACTGTCCACACCACCACCGTCCCTACCACTGTCCCACTGCTGTCCCCACCACCACCGTCCCCACCATTGTCCAACTGTCCTCATTGTCCCCGACACTGTCCCACTGTTCTCACAGTCCCCACCACTGTCCCCACTGTCCCCGTCAGTGCCCCCACCACTGTCGCACTGCCCCCACTGTTCCCACCACTGTCCGACTGTCCCCACCACGGTCCCACTCTTCCCACTGTCCCCATTCCCCACCACCATCCCCACCACCGTCCCAACCACTGTCCCCACCAGTCTCCCATCTGGAGTGGGAGAAGAGGGGGAGTCGTTGCGGCGAGGAGGGTGGGGGGGGAGGGGGGGGAGGGGTCGAACTGGTAGTGACACCCCTCGGTTTTCCAGGAGGGGGGAGGGGGGGAGGGGTTCGAACTGGTAGTGACCCCCTCCCTATTCATGATGGACCCCGGGGGGGGGGGATGAGAGGGGGGGTTGAAACTCCCAGTTTATCCCCCAGGTTGTCGAGAGGAGGGGGGGGACAGGTTGGACCCCCCCAGTGAAAGCCCCAACGGTTTTCTGCCAGCAACGGTAGGACACGCTCTTTCAGACCTGGCGTCCTAGGCTCCGCGTAGTGCGTGTACTTGAAGATGACCTCATCGTTGGACATCGCTAAATTGTGGATGTGACGGGAGGCCACGACAGACGTCATACTGCCAGAGCTGCCGGTGCGGACCTCCTCCATGTCGATCCCGCCATCCATAACACAGACCGCGAGTATAGCGTCTGGGTGCCACCACGCAGGAACGGTGGTGGGACAGTCGATGTAATACTCAAACACTTGGGAATGCAACAATACCTTGGCGTCCTTGACGCATGCGTCTTCTGGTTTTATGCCCCCAGCCAACTTGCGCTTCACCTCCGCGAACACGGTGCTCTCACACTCAGCGAGGGCAACAAGAGACTCACGAAGCGGGATTTCGTCAGAGTCCGCGACGATGAGGATGTCCTCTTTGTGCAACTCCCATGCGCCCGCGGAGTCCTGCAAGCCCCGTTGGAGTTGAGCGCGGGTCCACTCCTCCAAGAGGCTTAAGTTCGTGCCGTGGTGATGCCCTGGCCTGCTCAACTTATCCCGCTCCTCTGAAGACCAGTGCGGAAATAGTTTGGGGTTCCACTCTGGAACCGGATTCTCCAACACGACGTGCCGCAGCTTGTCCCCATAGCGCTTCCACCTCGCCTCAGACATGTTCAAGCTCGGCTGCCTTGGAGCTCCTGTCTGAGTCATCAAAGGATCCAAAGCAACGATCCGATCAACGAGCGGATAGACCTCTGCGAAAGCCAGGTCATAGACGTCCTGCTGGCCGTTGTTTCCGACGACGGTGCTGTAAAATAGCCGCGGTCTTCGCTGACCCTCTGGACGAGCTGTCCAGCCGAAATGCTTGCAAAGCCCATCGATCCCGCCGAACTGCTGCGCCACGCTCGCCGCCGCCGGGACCAGGGGTCTGGCCCGCTCTGTCACTGCCGCCACAGGCACGGCCACGCCAACGCCTGTGGCGGGCTCGCCGCCGCGCAGCGCTGGCCGCCCAGGCGGCGACCCTGAAGGTGTGACTTCTCTTGTTGCCACCGCGCCTTTTTCACGCAACACTTGTTGACCAAGGGAGCTTGCGCAACAGGCTCCCGCCAGGTCGGGCAGTCTCGTAAACCCCAGGCAGAAGGCGACTGTGAGCCCGGTGGCAACTGTGAAAGCGTATCGGCAGTCGATGCCCATGATTAACTGCTCGGACTCCACCTTGAGCCGAAAGTATACGGATCATGATGATGATGCTGCTGATGACGATGATGATGCTGCTGATGACGATGACGATGACGATGACGATGACGCTGACGCTGACGCTGACGCTGACGATGACGATGACGATGACGATGACGATGATGATGATGATGATGATGATGATGATGATGATGATGATGATGATGATGATGATGATGATGATGATGATGATGATGATGATGAGGGGGACGATGCTGCTTCTGATGATGATGATCATCATCATCATCAACAGCATCATCATTCGCATCCGCATCATCATCCTTGGCCACGTTGGTTCAAGGTCATGCGATCAGGACAGATGTCTGGTCCCATGCGGCTGGCTTTAGCCGTCGCGCCACTTGTTGGGTTAGATTCCGAATCGACCAAGCTTTCAGTGAGGCCTGCGCGGCCACAGCTCTTTCATATCCATAACCTTCCCAACACCCGGCCTCAATTGCCCGATTGGGCTTGCGCGGGCTCGACCAATGGCAGGTGGAGCTGGTGCTCGAGGCGCCGCGCGTGGTGGCGGCGGCAAAGGCGGCAGCGAAGGGGGACGACGTGGAGGGGGGTCCGCCAGGCGGAGGCGGCGGCGGCGGCGCCAGCAGCTAGCCCAATGCCTGGGACTGCCCTCTGTGCGGAGCCAAGAAGCACTGGGGCTCCAGGCATACATGTCAGAGCTGCGGTTATGATTGGTGAGAGCAGGGATCTGGTGCAAGCTCACGGTGGAGTGGCAATGCGCAACTGGACGCGAACGAAAGCCACGAGCTCAACCAGCTGCGCAAGAAGGCTCAGAAGCTCGAGAGCGTGACTCAGTCCGCAGGTGCTGGCAGCGGCGCTGTCGGCGGCGCTGTCGGCGGCGGCGACGGGCAGCAACCACCGAGTAAGGGCGAGCGAGTACGGCGACTTGGGAAGCTACGAAACGAAGAACCAGCAGAGTACAACGGAGGCACTGGAGCACAAGACCTCGGCCACCACGCAGGAGATCGAGACCCACCAGGCGTGGAAGCTCGAGCTGGAAAGGGAAGCGCGAACAGAGCAAGGCCACGGAGACCGAGCTTCAGGCCCTCATCGACAACCCACTGGCCAGGCACCGACGGGAGCGGGTGGGCGCCCTTCAGCTTGCAGGCCCTGGGGCAGGAGCAGCAGGGGCAGCGGACGCGGAACCAGCAGCCGATCTCTCTGAGGGCGAGCGCGCCACCGCCTTTTTGGCGGCGCTCGACCATGCCGCAAGTATGCTGGAACGCAGGGTACGCAGCTCGATGGGATGACCAAGGCTCTGAAAATCGACGGCTGGCTCAAAGCGTCGCCTCGGCGCGTGCAGCTGCGGAACGCGACGGCGCCGGCGGCGATGAGCAGGAGCTGGGCGAGGCCGACCTGGGCAAGATCGTCGACGACATCATGGGGGAGGAGGAGGCCGCGGAGGAAGACTCCGCCGCGGGTGGCGGCGCCGACGGCGCCGCAGCTGAAGCCGCCGACCCCGCGGCCAGGGCAGCGGCTCAGCGCAAGCTCCGCACCTGGAAGACTGGAAGACCATCGCAGGTCTCCGTTCAGCAGAGCTTCGGCGACGGGGGAAGCGAGGGTAGCAAGCCCAACTTCGCCGGCGCGAGCCTCAACGGCAGCGGCCGGGGGCCTTTCGCCACCGTCCTCGGGGAGCAGCAGCACGGCCCCCGACAAGACCTGGTCGCCGAGCTGCACTTGGGCGACGCGCTCTGCGTCTAGGGGCACCACCTCGACGGCTACCGCGCCGTCGAACAAGAGCAGCGGTGCCGCCATGTCGGCATGAGCGCCGCCCTGGCACCAGGCGTCGCTGCCGCTGGCGCCTCTGCGCAGCGCGCCGTCAGCTGCGACGCAAGGACGGCGGCGCGCACGGCTCGCGGCGTGCGCGGCCCAAGGGGGCACGGCGACAAGCAGAGCTGCCACGTCTACGACAGCAGGGCCACGACAGCAGCGGCGTGATGCCAGGCGGCTTCTTGCTCGGGTCTATATACCTCGACGACGACGACGCCGGCGAGACCAGCAAGGCCGTGCTCCAGTGGATCGGAGCCCTCCTCAAGCGCCCAGGCAAGCCGCGGGTGCCGGCTTGCGACTGGAACGTCGAGCCCGACAGGTTCCACGAGCGCGCGGCTAACTGGCCCTGCAAAGTCGGCGGCCACGTTTTCGACGCGGGCGCGGGCACCTGCCAGCGTTCCTTCTCCAAGCCGCTCGGAGCTGGACTGGTTCATCGTCGGCGCGACTGGGAGCCCCATGTGGGGCGCGGCTGGTGGGGTGACGCAAGCCTCGCACCTGCGCCGTCTCTCCATGCGACGCGCGCCGCCCTGGCCCCTGACGGCGCTGTCGGGGACTTGAGCGCCCTCAACGTGGGCGCCCAGGGCGTTCGGCGCACGCTGGGGCGCCTCGCGCTGGCGTGGCTTCCACACATCCAAGCCCCCGCCCACGTCTCTACGACCACGCCGAGTGGATGGACCTGTGCACGCAGTGCCAGCCAGTGCGAAAATGACGGGTCCGACCAGCACCCTCAGGCAGATAGGGGCGGGGCGCACCAGCACCACAGGCAAATGGAGGAGGTCAGCGCGGCCCCAGTCCAGCCCCCACCAGCTCCTTGCCGGCCTGGCAGCGGCAGCAGCAGTAGCAGCAGGGCCTGGGCCGGCAACGGCGACGGGAGCCGCTGAGCTCAGCGCTCAAGGCAGCGGCGCGACTGGGAGCACCACGGCCAGCACACCCCAGGCCCCAACAGGCAGCGGCGGCGATGGCGGGGCGGGCGCTCAGAGGCCGTTCGCGGTGCGCGCTGCGGCCCGCTGGGCACGGGCCGTGGCGCTGCGCGAGGAGGGCCGGGTGGGCTCGGAGCCGACGCGCGCGGTGCACCACCGCAGCATGAGCGCGCTAGAGTCCTCCAACCCCGACGCCTGGGCCGCAGCTGTCGACGGGCCCTTCGGCTTCATCCAGTTGGTTTAGCGCTTCATGCGGGAGCGCGGCTGGCGCCCGCCCGACGGCGACGACGACGGCGACGGCAGCGGCCGTCATGGCGGCGGTTCAGGCGCCAACACAGGCTCAGCAGGCGCCTCGGCGCTGCGGCCGCCCAACATGTCGGGCCATGTGATGTGCCCGCAGTTGGGCGCGCGGGTCGCGCTTGCAGCCGAGTGCCCTGGCCCCCTGCCGCAGGCGGAGTGGGCGGCGCAGGCGCGCGAGACTGCGATGGCGGGGGGCTCGGCCTTCGCTGCTCTGCGCGGCCGGGGCTTCATGGAGCGGAGCGAGCATTCCATGGCGGCAGGGGCTGGCGGCCCCCACGCCTATCGCCGCGGCCCTCGGGGCTGGGCCCCCGACGAAGAGTTCGAGGGGGCGCCCGCTCATGGCCCAGCGCGCGCGAAGGTGGTCGCGGCCAAAGTGGGCCACCGAGGCATGGCGGGCCCGTTGCGAGGGCGATAACTTTCGCCCACGGCGCCCTCCTGGCGACGCCGTGGCTCTGCCCAGGCCGCCCGCCGAGAAGGTTTGCAGCGCCGCCGATGCCTTCAAGCGCAACACTGGCGTCGGCAGCGACCGCCTCAATCCGCGCGAGGCCGCGGACCTCAGCGACGCCATCCTCGAGGCCACCATCGACTCCGGCATGAAGTGCGAAGAGCTGGGCGGCCGGCCAGACGTCCTCGCCGACTCTTTGGTCGTCAAGCTCCCATAGCCACAAGGCGGCGATCGGCCCATCGGGCCGATGGGCTGGCTTCGCCGCCTTTGGAGTCGCGCCCGGCAGCCCGGCGCGAGGCGCTGGGACTCCGAAATCGACCCAGGCCCGTAGGTGGACGTTCCGGGGCGGCGGAGGCCGCGCCGCCGAGGAGGCCGTCTGGTTGCAAGCCCTGCGGTCAGAAGCCTCCCACGCTCGAGGCGAGGGCGCTGCGGCGGCTCTCATCGACCTCTGGAAGGCGTACGAACACGTCGACTTGGCGATCATCCAGGACCACGGCACCCTGGCGAACTACCCCCGGGGCCCGTTGGGCATGGCCCTGGCCCTGCACGCAGGCGAGCGGCGCTTCGTGCTCGACGACAGCGTCTCCGATGCCCACCTGCTGGACGCGGGCCTCATCGCAGGGTGCTCGCATGCAGGCAGGCCCCTTAAGTGCGGCTTGCTGGTCCTCGTCGACGAGCACGCGAGGATGTGGCGAGTGCTCGAGCCTCGCGTCACACTGGAGATCACGTTCGACGACTGCTGCGTGGGATGCCATGGCCCGATGGCGCAGGTCGCGACATGCGTGGCGCAAGCGACCAGGGTCGTGGTCGCCCGGCATCAGGCCTTGGGCTGCGAGGTATCGGGGGCCAAGAGCGGGCTGCTCGCCGGCTCGCCAGAGCTGGCCTCTCTGGTCGCCAAGCAAATGGGCGGCTCCGCTTTCCCGATCGCGGACTCTGTCAAGAACCTGGGGGTGGACTACTGCCTCGATGGCCAGGCCTTTGTTGCCCTCGAGGCGCGGCGCTCGAGGGCTGCCTCGCAGCTGCAGCGCCTTCGCGCCATCCGCTCTCAGGAGACGCCTGCCGCCGCGCGCGCGGCCAACAAAGGCCTGCGCCCAGCCGCGCGCTGCGGCCTCAGCGCGGTGGGCTAGCCCCCCCACAGTTGGCTAAGCGGGGGCGCCAGGTGAACGCCGCCCACCACGGCAAAGGGCCTGGTAAGAGCCTCGGCCTCAGCTTCCTCCTTGGCAAGCGGCAATCCAGCGACCCCGAAAGTGGGCGCGCGACGCTGCCCATCGTCGCTTGGGCCAAGGCGGCGCAGCCCAATTCAGACGGCACCGACCAACGCGCAATGGGCAGTGCGTTCGCACAGGTTCTGGCGCTACTCGCAGTAGCGGGGCCAAAGGCGCTGGCTGGCCGAGGGCCTGCCTCGGCTTGCGCGCTGGCGAGCTTTCGCCCGGGCTGGGCAGCGGCGCGGCCCGGCGTGCTCCTCCTCAACGACCGGCAGCAGCACGTCGACCTCAGGGTACTGGGCGCGTCAACAGATCTGGCTAAGCACATCGCGG